TAGGAGTTGCTAAAATATGGCATAATAGTCTTTTGAGCACTTACCTGTTGTGTAGAAATGTTGCAAGGGCTTGAAATTTTTTTTTCCTTACAAGGTACATTTTGGGTTACTTTAGGTGCAGAAAAGACTGACTCATTTTATCATTCTTCTGGTGGGCTGGAACTATATGGAGAACCAAGACATACTACGTATCGCTCAAGATCAGATCTGGACTATATTAGGTCCCCTTTACCATTTCAAAATAGGTAAGAATTTGAGAAAAACTGCCTGGAATAGTTAAATTTAAATGTATTCACATTTAACAGAGAAAAATGTACATTTTTAGGGCTTTGACTTCTTTGCATTGAGATAGACATCGTTGTCATATGTAATTTACATAATCTGACTGGGCGCAGTGGCTCACACCTGTAATCCCAGAACTTTGGGAGGCTGAGGCAGGTGGATCACTTGAGGTCAGGTGTTCAAGACCTGCCTGACCAACATGGTGAAACCCTGTATCTACTAAAAATACAAACAAATTAGCTGGGCATGGTGTCACATGCCTGTTATCCCAGATACGTGGGAGGCTGAGGCAGGAGAATCGCTTGAACCTAGAAAGTGGAAGTTGCAGTGAGCTGAGACTGTGCCACTGCACTCCAGTTGAGAGTGAGACTTGGTCTCAAAAAAAAAAAAAAAATTTTTTTTAACATAATCTAAGGCTCAATGTAAAAACCAGTGTTTGGATTTGTAACTGATTTCCAAGGGTATAGCAAACCTGACCAAGTGTTATTTAGTTGTTAGATGCTGGAAAAAGTAGTCTCTGGCCATTATGAAAAGCTCTACAATCTTCATGACAAGATGCATTTATTTATACATACCCAATTTGTTGAGACCTTTGCCACAAGCATCGTATTGGACATTCTTATGTTGACTTAGTAGCATCTTCGAAGTCATTGAAGAGTTCTTTCTCATCCCAAGCTCAGAGGGTATACATATATTATGTGTGTACAGGTGCCTTTTGGGGGAAGGGAGTGGAAGCAGAAATATATGCATATTTCGGGATAACTTGATTCATGTACATATTTTTCATCCTTTAGGTACCCAGGCATTCCAGCTGATTTCAATCCTGGTTCTTTAGCATGTTCTCAGCTTCAGAATTATGATCCTGACAGAGCCCTAACAGATTATATCACTCGGCTAGAGGCACTGCAAAGACGACTTGGAACTGTACAGTCAGGTGCTCTAAGTTTAACAACACCTTGGCAGCACCACAGTGCTAGACCCACAGCTATCCTTTCTTTAAAACTCCTTCACACTCATCATTAGGATAATCAAAGCTTCCACTTTAATGCATGAGCTATCAAGTTAGCCAAAGCTTAAACTCTTGTAACCAGCAGAGAGAAATTGACTTTAAATAATTTAAGTGAAGATATGATTTATTACCCCATATACCACTCCTCCCAGACATGATTTCCTACTATCTTTATTCAGTGGATTGATGACACAAAATGCATGATAAGCACCAATGTGCAAGGTTCTCTGAGTCTACACAGCCTGATTGGAGAACGTGTTCCTAAGTAATGCATGGTGGAAAGTGGTAAGGCCGTACCACAGCACTCCAGCCTGGGTAGGAGAGCGAGACCCTGTCTCAAAGAAGAAAAAAAAAGAAAGCAGTAAGGCATGTGAATCAGGTGGAGTTAAGGAGGAAGCACTTGCTGAAGCACTTAATGTAACCATCATCCATGCTACTACATTGTGCTTTTATGTATCATCCAAAAAACTATTCCATTTAAAACACTTTGTAAAGATTCTTTTATTTTTCTTTGTTCAAAACCGAAGAACACTTTAAAATAAAGGTGGACCCTGTTCCCGGAAGGAAAACCTCTTTTCCCTATCTCACTTCACTTCACTCCTCATTCAGAGACTTTGAATCATTTTAGTTTAAGTGATTGTGCTCTAAGTCAACTTTTATATTTTGCTTTTACTTTTATTAAAGACACTTTTTTCCTACTAGTCTCATAAACTATTGGTTGATAACATATTATTTTAACTTAGTAGTGTATCTCTTCAAGAAATCATTTAACCCAAGCAACTTGTAGTAGTAGGAAACTTTTATTATCATAGCTGAGGTTTCTTTGTTGGTTTGCCTTGGCTTGTTTTGAGCACCCAAATTTCACAAAATGTGGATTTTGAAGACCAAAAGACTTTCAAAAATATATGAGGTATAGAACATTCAACTTTGAGAGCACTTTAAAGAAACTCTAATCATTGGTCTCACCTATTTTGCTATAGAGCCCAGTCATGGTGATTTTTAAATATATATTCAAATTATCTTCAAAATCAGTTTAAGTTTATGGGCTGGGGGCGGCAGGAATGCTGAGGCGGGCAGATCACAAGGTCAGGAGTTGAGACCAGCCAGTTCGAGAACAGCCTGGCCAACACAGTGAAACCCTATCTCTACAAAAAATACAAAACTTAGCCAGGCATGGTGGTATGTGCCTGTAATCCCAGCTACTCAGAAAGGCGAGGCAGGAGAATCCCTTGAACCCAGGAGGCAGAGGTTGCAGTGAGCCGAGATCACACCACTGCATTCCAGCTTGGGCAACAGAGCCAAGACTCCATTTGTGGGTAGGGGGGCAGGTGAAATCCGTTTAAGTATGAAGAAGACATTTTAAGGGAAAAAAAGGCTTTAAAAAAATTGAGAATAATAGTAATCCCCTTTGTGTGAACTCTAGTGGGTCTGACACAAATAGTACTGTAATTTGAAATAATTTGAATTTCCTGTTTTTCTCTCATAGGTTCAACTACTCACTTTCATGTTGGCATTAGAAGATAATCTTTTGAAACATCATTAATTGAAGTGATTTAAAACAGATTTCCTTTTATAAATCAGTGGTTCTTTTGTGCTTTTGTATTGTGAATATTCGATGGGACCAATATCAACACAGCTTATGATTGTATACAAATCCCTTGCCAACACATGAAAACAAACTGGAATTTGTATATATAAGCATTGTGTATGTATTCATGCACAATAATCATTGAATTACCTGTATATTTGTGGAATGCTAATTTAAAACATTAAATTATAAACCTTGTGTATTTATCAAATGGGTGAAGAAAAGATTAAACTTTCACACATTACATTACTGCTGAATGTGTAGCTTGAGGTGTCCTGCACTTTTCTTATAAGGCTACTGAAGTTACATGTTTCTGCCTAATATATTCTACTGGTGATGAAGACAGATAATATCACTTGTAGAGACCTATTTTTGTATAACGATAGAAGTTTTGAATTTTATGGGGTATTTTGTCAAGTACTGAAATAAAAATGACTTCACCATTTTCACCACACTGTATTTGAACCTTCTTCATTTTTAACTGAGCCATAGTTCTTGGTATATAGCATCTCATTATGTCAAATACACAGGAGTGAGAGATTCAGAGAAAGTTGTCCTAATCTTAGAGTTAATACTGTTTAAAGTTTTCCATGTGCTTTTGTGTCAACTTTACATCTACATAGTGTTTTTTAAAAGCTATATTGGTATTTCATGATTAATCATTATTTACTATATTACAGTTAGTGTTACTTGTATCCAAAGATGTGTTCTCATAAATCAATGGCCACTAAAAAGATGAAGAAATCAAACTCGAAAGATCTTAATCACATTGCAGCAGAATTAAACAGTATCCCTGTTGTCCAAGCCAAATTACGATTGGGAGGCTCTCACAGAGATAATACAAATTCCAATGTTATTTCTCATCTGGAGTCCTCCCCGGTAACATGTCAACTCACAAAACAGCAAGAGGACTAGTATTTGGTGCTTATATCTGGAGGATTTTGTCTTATTATTTGATGTTCCATGATTTACACCAACACAAACTACCATGGTAGAAAGTTGTACATTCTTGAAAATTCTAATTTCAGTCATTCCTTGGCATGTGTGGGGGATTAGTTCCAGGATCTCCCTTGGATACTACAATCTGCAAATGCATAAGTCTCTTATAAAACAATGTACTATTTGCAGATAATCTACACACATCCTCCTGTGTACTTTAAATCATCTCCAGACTATTTATACCTAATACAGTGTGAACAGTATGCAAATAGTTGCTAATATTGTATTCTTTTTATTATTGTGGGGTTTTATTTTTAATATTTTGAACCTGCAGTTGGTTGAATCAGAGTATGCAAAACCCAAAACTATAGGGGGCAAACTATACTTAAATTTTCCACAATAGAAGCTGGGTTCCAATAAGAAGAATTCTAGAAATAGCAAACATACTCTAAAGCAGTTAGTTGAAGGTGCAGTTTATGGGTAAAAACCTTTTTCAGCTAGCATGGCTTGCCATTCAAGGCCATTCTGCTCTACGAGACAGTGGAGAAAAGAGCAGATGGACAAATTATCTGATCAAGATGAGTTCACTGCCACTGTTTGACCACCATGCCTCCTTATGATATTAGGCCTCTGCAATCACACTTGTTTTTGCTTCTCAATAATTAGTCTGTGATTAAAAATGAAGTGTTAAGTCTAATACTATTCACTAAACAGACTAGCCTTATCTCGGGTTTGTAACTAGATACTTCAAGAAATCTATAACATCTGAAATATGAAAATATCTGAGATTTCTATTGACAAAGTCATGTACTGCTAATACTAGTGTGGTATGTTGCCCAAATTCATAAATGAATTAAACACTAAATTGCAATTGGAAATTAGTGCAAATAATTTCCAGACGTGGTGGTGGGCACCTATATAAAAAATTAGCCAGACGTGGTGATGGGCACCTATAGTCCCAGCTACTCGGGAGGCTGAAGCAGAAGAATTGCTTGAACCCGGGAGGCAGAGGTTGCACTGATCGGAGATTGCGCCACTGCAGTCTAGCCTGGTAACAGAGTAAGACTCCATCTCAGAAAAAAAAAACCAGTGCAAATAAAGATGTAATTTTCCCCACCCAAGTTCTTAGATTCCCTGACAATGCTCAATGAAGCACATACTTTACAATTCATGAATACAGACTATTTTTTCAAAGAGAATTTTAATGTGAAAAATTAGCAGAGATTCTGCCTTCACAATTAGAGTTTAGCATAAGTCTTCCAGACTTTTAAATAAAAGAATTGTAATATACATAAGGGAAAATATTTTGGCATCATCTAGTGAAAACGGACTATGTGGTCTTTTTTCAGCCATCTCATAGGCTCCCAGTTACAATTTGAGATAAGTTGATTCCTCAACAGAATGTGCTTAACAGAAAGGACCAGTTACTCCAAAGGACCTTGTTTCAGATTATCTTAAAGCCAGAATTCACTGATCTCACATTTTATATTTAAAAAGAAGAAAGTTTATTAGCTGTTTTAATCAACATAAGTAGTAACAAACATCCCTAACTGGATTCTAGAGAGGAAGCAGAAACAACCTGAGCCAAAGAGAAATAAAATTATCCCCTAAGGATTTGACTTTGGACTTCCACATAAATGTCATCTTGTAGAACTAGATACGTATTTTATCAGATAGGTAAATATGTAATATTCAGTGATTAGATCAAAATACATGAGCAGTCTTTAGCAATAATAATTTCATTACTTTTAGGAAATCTTATCAAATATGGTCCTACATCTCTTAAATGTCCTATATGCAGTGATTTTAGTTAAAATCCCAAAGGAGGCTGGGCGCAGTGGCTCATGCCTATAATCCCAGCACTTTGGGAGGCCGAGGCGGGTGGATCACGAGGTCAAGAGATCGAAACCATCCTGGTCAACGAGGTGAAACCCCTTCTCTACTAAAAATACAAAAATCAGCTGGGCATGGTGGCACGCGTCTGTAATCCCAGCTACTCGGGAGGGTGAGGCAGGAGAACTGCTTGAACCCAGAAGACGGAGGTTGTGGTAAGCTGAGATCGTGCCATTGCACTCCAGTCTGGGTAAGAACAGTGAAACTCCGTCTCAAAAAAAAAAAAAAAAAAAAATCCCAAAGGATATATATTTTTTCCTATAACGTCTCCATTTCTATCATCATACCAAAACAATTAGTATTCTCTTATTCAAGACTTTAGATGTTCGTTTATTCCCTACCCCTCCATCCTCACACACACAATAATTGCCCAGATAAATAATAACCTGTGGTTTTTCTAAGTATCTCACTGGAATTTTTATTCTTTATGCCTTGCAGGATTAGTCCAAGATTTGGATACCCTAAACTTATTTGCCAAGAGCTATTGTGTAGCTCTTAAAATATTGTACTCTTAAAATTACTACCTGGAAATTATATTATTTAGAATCTGCCAATTCCCTAGATCCCCCCTGAACAATTGTTTTGCTAATAAACTTCATGAAAGCACATGTGTATAAGTTTCATAACTATTAGAAAATGTTTCAAATGCTATTACATTTGATAGAACCATTCAGTTAAAATACTAAATGACAAATTGGCTTCTAGAATTACTCATAAAAACAGTACACCACAAGAATTGTTTTGTACACTTCATTCTCTTGGAATGGTTTTGTGGCTTACAGTGATGATCACATATATTAGTTCCTTGTAGCCTTTTTCATTTTGATCTTCGTTTGTAATGGATAACTGGGTTTTCAGGGGTGTGAATCATAGTCGTATAATTCACAGTGGGAAAGTATCCATCAATGAGATCAAATTCATATAAACGAAGCATAGTTGACCAAATTGTCTTAATTTGAACATAGGCAAAATTTTCCCCAATACAACGATGACGCCCTAAAAAAAAAAAAGTCATAAGAATCAGTTTAAATTTTCTTATCCCTTTTAGCCTGAGGTGATAATATTTGTTTATCTACATTTTAGATGAACAGCAAATGTACAGATAGTATAATAAAAAGATGATATTCTTTTCACATAAAAAGGTGAATTATTAAAAATTCCAGGAGATTTTCGATTATCACATTTTAGGAAAACAGTCCTTGGCTAATCACATCACTTTTTCAATTACTTTTTCTGAAAATATGTATCTGGGTTAAATATATGGAAAGTTTGAATCATAAGATGGTAATCTAGTTTGGGAATATAGTAGAATATTTTGTTTCTGTCCAAGAGGGTCCTAATTAAATGTCAGTATGAGAACCTTCCAGCCAAAATTTCAAATGCCATTATAAATGATTATGGAAGAAAATTAAATTATTGAACCCAAAATAATACATGTACTAGAAAGTCACATACATGTAGAAACTGACAAACTGATTCTAAAATACATATGAAAATGCAAAGGACCTAGGATATCCAAAGCAATCTTGGAAAAATAACTCAGTTGGAGGACTTTAAACAAACCAAATCTGACTTCAAGACTAAAGTGGTACTGGGTAAGGATCAACAAATAGATCAATGGAACAGAGCAGAGAGCCCAGAACAGAATATTTTTATGGTTATTTGATTATCACTAAAGACAGCAAAGCAAGCCAATGAGGAAAAGAAAACCTTTTCAACCTAAGGTCCAGGAATAACTAGATATTACATGGGGGGAAATGAAATTCAACTCCTATGTCACACCATACTCAAATATTAATTCAAGAAGAGTCACAAACCATGATGCTAACACCATCGAATTTTAGTAGAGAAGAACAGGAGAATATATTCATGACTTGGGGGCTAAGCAAAGATTTTAAGATAGAGCCAGAAAGCAAACCATTTAAAAGACTGATAAATTAGACTTAACTAAAGGTTATTCATTTGTCAAAACTCGATGTTGACTTAAGATTTGGGCATTTTGTTGCAAGATTTTTCATCAAAAGAAAAAAATTAAACTGATACTGAGTACTTAGCACAGTGCTTGCTTGACTCATAACTGTACTTATTTCTAGGAATGACATAAGATGAGCATCTATAAATCAATCCATATCTCAAATATAACAACTAAAGAGAAGCTTGGCTTACAAGAAGAATAGTCAAAGGATTTAAACACAATAAGCAAGAAGTATCCTAACTGAATCAACAGAAAAATAGATAAATTCTGAAGATTCACAAAATGCAACATTATGAAAATGAATGAACTATATGCACCAACATAAATAAGCAGCACAATTACTAAGTAAAACAATGAGTAAAGAATTTAGAGACATTTAATGTGATATTTAACAAGATTAACATGATGATCATATATCCCTCCCCCTACAAATTCAAGTTCATCCAGAACCTCAGAATGTGATCTTATTGGGAAATAAGATCTTTATCTGTGTAATTATTTAAGATGAGATCACCCTGAGTTAGGGTAGGCCTTAGATCCAATGACTGGTGTCCTTATAAGAAGGCCACATGAAGATACAGAGATGTGAACAAGAAGAAAGCCTGTTGAAGACAGAGGTAGTGATTGAAGTGATGTAGTTACAAGCCAAGGATTACCAAGAGCCACCAGAAGATAGGAAGATGCAAGGAAGGATTCCCCTTGTAGAACCTTAAGGAGGAGCACAATCCTGCCAATACCTTGATTTCATACTTCCAGCCTCCAAAACTGAGAGAGAATAAATTACTATTGTTTTAAGCCACTCATATTGTGGTAATTAGTTACAGAATCCCTAGGAAACTAACAAATAGATCGAAAAAAAAGATTGAGGAGACATTATATCTTTACTCAAATATCTTATACAATGTAAGTTCAGAGACTATTAGGACCAACTATAAATGGGATGTTAAAAGGAAACAGCTTTCAGCTGTCTAAAAATGACAGCTGTCCAAAAATGGAATGAACTATCATATAAGGTAACTGAACAACCTGCAACCCATTTCTAGTAAAGCTCAAGTGAAAAACCAGATAATTATTAGTTTAGAAATGATTCCTCTTTGGGGCAGAATTTGGACTACAGAAGGAATACTCGTCTCATCTATTAACGATCTATGATTCTTTGGCCAGGCAGCATGGCTCACACCTGTAATCCCAGTACTTTGGGTGGCCGAAATGGGCAGATCACTTGAAGCCAGGAGTTCGAGACCAGCCTGGCCAACATGGTGAAACCCAGTCTCTAATAAAAATACAAAAATTAGCTGAGCATGGTGGTACACACTTGTAATCCCAGCTACTCAGGAGGCTGAGTCACTTGAACCCAGAGGTGGAGGTTGCAGTGAGCCGAGATCTTGTGCCACTGCACTCCAGCCTGGGTGACAGAGCAAGACTCTATCTCAAAAAAATAAATAAATAAAAACTATGATTCTTTTATATACTATGTTATATACCACAGTATTAAATTTATAAATAAAGATCTTAAGTTCCTAAAGGATTTTATACTTTATATGTGAAAAAAGTGTGACCAATGACAAGTCATCTCTCATCTAAATTATCCCTTTAGAAAGACTAAAGTCATAGAATATAGTTTAATCAGTACAGAGAACCAATGGATAGAAAAATTACTGGAGAAACAAGGGTATACCTAAATTATTTTTAGGATCTTGGAAATGAAATTTGCAAGCCTACACACAATCTGCCCAAAGTTAAAGACATTTTATCATAAGGATACTCACAGAGAGCCAAAATGTTGACCAACAATCCAGAAAAGCTTTAATTTTAAAAGACTACCTTTACTCTTTTGTGAAATGTTAGTAACCTTTTATGAAAGTTAACCAAAAATAATTCCCTGAATGGTGGGCTGACCCATTCTCTTTAAAAGAGAATTCACAAAGAGCTTTAAATACAGTTATAAGGGAATATAATGGTGGACTATAAAAATTAGACCTAATAAAACTAGACAGGTTAGGAGGTAATGAAGCATTATACAGGGATTCATAGAACAATTCCATTTAGTACAAAGGAAATATTTTTCTCCAACTTACAAAGATTCTACTCTTATAAAAGTTTGTAAAAATGTCCCTATGGAAAATGGAGAGATAATCTGTAAATACAATTCATATGGAATATTTTGACAGAGACAAATATGTTAACAGAACAAATAACTTCCAATCTAAAATATAATCATCTTACCAGCTCCAAATGGCACATAGGCAAACTTTTCTCCTAATGCTGGGTTATCCTGTAAGTAGCGATCAGGATTAAAGTCCAGACGTTCTACCCATGAGTCCTTAAGTCTTTGGTTGACAGTAGGAGAAACACACACCTGATGTCCTGGAGGAATGGTATAACCTGCCACAGTCTGTAAACAAGAGCCACATATTTCATTAGAGGATTTTAAAATGTACTGCCAAATGATAGGATCACTGTGTAATAAACCATTAATATGCATGGGATAGTCAGATGCTCCTTGACTTGTAACAGGTTTACATCCTGATAAATCCATCATAAAGTCAAAAAATTGTAAGTTGAATCATCATAAGTCAAGGACCATCTGTAGATATATTTAAAAACTGGCTAGATAATAGGCAAACTAAAAATTATTTTAACTCAAGATGATTTCCAGTGAGCCAGCATTGGGTTGGAAGTACACAGCACACAAATTCAACCCATAATGCTTTGGAGGTAGGGTTGGAATTTCAGGGAGGCTTTCACTATCCAATTTGTACACTTCACACGAACAATTTTTTGCAACAAAATATTATTTTTAAAACCAAGACAAATATATACTCTCATTCTTAAAACCCCAATTGTTAAAGAAAAATGCAGAGCATGATTAGCATGTATATGATTTACAATTATGAGAAAATATCTATTTAGAATATGTAAAACTGATGATTCTATAGAAGTTACATATTTTTTAATTTTAAAAAATTCTCTTTTATGCTACTCTACTTCTTTTTTTTTGAGACAGGATCTTGCTCTGTTGCCCAGGCAGCAGTGCAGTGGCATGACCATGGATCACTGCAGTTTCAACCTCCCAGGCTCAAGCAATCTACCCACATCAGCCTCTGTGTAGCTGGGACAACAGGGGCACGTGCCACTATAGCCAGCTAATTTTTTTTTTTAATGTTTGTAGAGATGAGGTCAGTCTCACTATGTTGCCCAGGCTAGTCTCAAATTCTGGGCTCAAGTGATCCTCCCATCTTAGCCTCCAAAAGTGTTGAGATTACAGGTGTCAACCACACCCAGCTATTTCCTCTTTTTGATAAATAAAAACTGGGAGTATAAGGGGGAAGACGTAGCCAAGATACTCACCTGAGGAGTTTTAGCCATTCTCATCATGGTCATTATAGGAGGTCTAAGTCTTAATGTTTCTTTTATACAGCGATCAAGTAAATTTAGATCCTTGAGCTAAAATGAGAAATTATTTTCTGATTGTTATAAATAACATACTTCAACAGTACAAAAAATTAATTTAACTTCTAGTTAGTACAAGACAGCTTGCATTCCAGCTAAAAGTACAGAGGTAACTGGTTCAGGGTGGCTGGGATTATCATGCTCTATTACTGTCCATGGTGAAAAAGGAAGGCAAGACAGCAGAAAGAGAGGCGATCATCCTGAAGAATGAAGTAAGGAACTACAAAAATTTAGTCCTCCAAAAAATGAAAGCATTAGCAAAAATCACAATGTCAACTTTTTCAAAATTCTGGAAGATTAACCAAAGGCTTGTAACAATCTAAGGAGAGTTAATTCAAGAAAAAGAAATCTGAATCGTGGTAAGGAGACTAAACTTTGTGGTACTCTCAGTTGTATTTCTCTCATTCTCCTCTCCCTAAATCCATGTTAACCCCAGAAACCAGCAGCATGACAACCTGTGAAAGCCAGAAGCCTAACAACTATTAGAGGAGCCAGAGCAAATTTTTCAAAAATAATCGGCAAAAATTGTTTAACACTGAAGGCACCTGAGGTGGTGATATCAACTGATGCTACCAAGGGACAGAATAAGAAGTTTAAAAGGGAAAATTGGGGAATGAGATGTCCACAGGAGACTTTGAAAAGTTCCAACATAAGGAAATCTTGAAGGCCAAGATCTGAGAAGGTTCTATTCTTTCACCTCTGGCTGACCTGCACACACAGGTAGTGAAGGCAGATTTGTAACTGCCTGTTGGAGTGTTCATAAAACACACACACACACACACACACACACACACACACACACAGTCTTTCAGCAAAAGCTAGGAGACTGGCTGTTCAAAGCACTTCAATAAATCTCTGTCCTAATATTAGATGCTCACTAAAATAAGCAAGCAGAGATTTCAGTGACCTCACTGGATGAAGAATTACATAATTCACCTAGAAAAGGCAGTAAACGAACAGCAACAGCAGCAGCAATAACAACACCACCAATAAACCCAGGGAGAAGGGCATCTGATTTCCACAGTTGCCACATTATTTCAAATGTACAGTTTTCAACAACAAATTACAGAAATATGAAAGTATCGCTCATACATAGAAAAAGAAAGCCGTTTAATAGAAACTATCCATGAAGAAGCCCAGACACTGGACTTACTAGATAAAGAATTTAAATCAGCTAGTAAAAAGTCAAAGAAATAGAGTAAAATATGTTTAAAGGGTCAAAATATAAAACAATGCCTCACCAAATAGAGAATATCAATAGATTTTTTTTTTAGAGAACCAAATAGAAATTTGGGAATTGAGAAGTATAAAAACTGAAATGAAAAATTCACCCGAGGGGATCAACAGCAGGTTTGAACTGGCAGAAGAAAGAATAACATCACATAAATAAAATAATAAAACACTTAAAAATACATTTAACAAGAGACATTTAACTATTGTGCACTAAAAACTATAAAACATTGCTGAAAAAATTTAAAGAATTAAATAATAGAAAGACATCCATGTTCATAGATTTAAAGACTAAAATTGTTAAGATAGCCACGCTCTCAAATTAATAGAGATACACTGCAATTACCGTCAAAAATCTCAGAGAGTTCTTTCCAGAAATTAACAAACTGACCCCAAAATTCATATGGATATTAAAGGGAATAGGACTAGCTAAACACCCTTGAAAAGGAAAAAATCAGAGGACTCACACTCCCAAATTCAAAACTTATTACAAAACTACTATAATGGCAACAGACTAAATATATCAATGGAATAGAATTGAGTCCAGAAATAAAGCCTTAAATTTATGGTCAAGTGGCTTTTTAAAAATTATTTATTTTTTAAGAGACAGGGTCTTGCTGTGTTCCCCAAGCTGGACCCCAAGACCTGGGCTCAAGCTACCTTCCCATCTCAGCCTCCCAAGTAGCTGAGAATACCGGTATGTGTCACTGTGCCTGGCTATAATAGATTTTTTTACAAAGACAATTCAATGCAGAAAAAATTGTCTTTTCAACAAACAGAGTGGGACAACTGAATAACCACATACAAAATAATGATGACCTCATACCATATACATAAATTAATTAAAAATGGATCAAAGACCTAAATGTAAGATATGAAACTAAAACACTAAGAAGAAAACACAGAAATAAATCTTCATATACTTTGATAGGGCATTGGTTGCTCTGACACCAAAATCACATTAAAAAAAAAAATACATAGGCCGGGCGCGGTGGCTCAAGCCTGTAATCCCAGCACTTTGGGAGGCTGAGGCGGGTGGATCATGAGGTCAGGAGTTCAAGACCAGCCTGACCAATATGGTGAAACCCCGTCTCTACTAAAAATACAAAAATTAGGTGGGCATGGTGGCGTGTACCTGTAATCCCAGCTACTCAAGCTAAGCCAGCAGAATGGCTTGAACCCAGAGGATGGAGGTTGCAGTGACCCAAGATTACACCACTGCACTCCAGCCTGGGTGACAGAGCAAGACTCTGTCTCAAAAAAAAAAGGAACAAGATGTGAGCGGACATTTCTCCAAAGATATACGAAAGCCAAAGAGCACATCGTAAGATGCTCTACATCATTAGTCAGCAGGAAAATAAAAAATCAAAACAAGATACTGGCTGGGCACAGTGGCTCACACCTGCATTCCCAGTACTTGGGAAGGCCAAGGCAGGCAGATCACTTGAGGTCAGGTGTTCGAGACCAGCCTGGCCAACATGGTGAAACCTCATCTCTACTAAAAATATAAAAATTAGCCAGGTATGGTGGTGTGCACCTATAGTCCCAGCTATTTGGGAGGCTGAGACAAAAGAATTGCTTAAACCCGGGAAGTAGAGGTTGCAGTGAGCCAAGATCATGCCATTGCACTTGAGCCTGGGCAGCGAGACTCCGTCTCAAAAAAAAATCAAGTAACAAGTTCGGTGATGAGGTGGAGAAGTCAGGACCAACATATACTATTTAGTGAGATTTGAAAGTGGTGCAGCCACTTTTAAAAACAGTCTGGCAGTTCTTCAAAGTTAAAATATGACCCAGCAATTCTCCTCCTAGGTATGACCCCCCCAAAATTGAAAACACATGTCCACATAAAATCAGTCTACAATTGTTTAGAGCAGCATTATTCGTAATAGTTGAATAGGTGAAAACAATCCAAATGTCCATCAACTTGATGAACAGATAAATAAAACAATGACTGAAGTACTGATACATGCTACAGCACAGATGAACCCTGATAACATGCTAAGTGAAACAAGCTAGTCACAAAAGACTACATATTATATGATCCCATTTATATAAAATATCCAGAATAGACAAACTCATAGAGGCAAAAAAGAGATTAATGATTTCCAGGGGCAGGGGTCAGGAAGAATGAAGCATGACTGCTAATGGGTACTGGCTGTCTTTTGGGAGTGATGTAAAGGTTCTAAAATTAAATTATGATGATGGTTTCCCAACTCTGAATATGCTAAAAACCACAAAGTGTACATTTTAAATGGATGGATTTATGGTTTGTAAATATATCAATTAAGCTGTTATTTTTAAAGTTACTAAAAACAAGAATGAGTATTGAGATATCACTACTGAGCTTACAGAAATAAAAAAGGATTATGAGAATTCTAAGAACAATTGCCCAATTTGCCAACAAATTAGGTAATCTAGATGAAATGGACAAATTCCTAGAAAGATATAAACTACTTTTACTTGGTATATTCTCTGGAGTTTTTGGAAAAAACAAAAAAAAAGAGAGAGAGATATAAACTACTGAAACTGACATAAGAAGAAATGGAAGGAAGAAACTTGTAACAAGTAAATTGAATTGGTAAACAAAGTCTTCCCACAAAGAAAAGCACAGACATAGATGATTTCACTGTTGAATATTAGCAAATATATAAAAAAGGATGAACACCAATCATCCACAAACTCTTCAAAAAAAATAGAAGACCTGTAATCCCAGCACTTTGTGAGGCCGAGGCAGGTGGATCACGAGGTCAAGGGATTGAGACCATCCTGGTCAACATGGTGAAACCCCGTCTCTACTAAAAATATTTTAAAATATTTTAATAGCGCATGCCTGTAATCCAAGCTACTCGGGAGGCTGAGGCAGGAGAATTGCCTGAACCCAGGAGACGGAGGTTGTGTTGAGCCGAGATCGCACTATTGCACTCCAGCCTGGGTAACAAGAGTGAAACTCCTTCTCAAAAAAAAAAAAAAAAGAAGAAAAAAAGAACACTTCCAAATTCATTCTATGAGACCAGTATGATCCTGATAACAAAACCAGTCAAAGACATGACAATGAAAGAGATCAATATTTTTTATGAAGATAGATGCAAAAATCATCAACAAAACACCAGCAAACTGAATGCAATAACATATAAAGAGAACTATGCACCGTAACAAAGTAAGATTTATCCCAGGAATATAATTTACATCTAAAAAATCAGTATAATACACCATATTAATATAGAACAAAAAACACAAAAGATAACAGGAAGAGGATATAACCTACGTTTGCTTCCAAGATGGAATGTCAGGTTGGGCAGGCAGTGAGTTCTCCTCTCTTCCTTTCCACCCAGCAAGCTGTGTGTAGTGTTTGTAAATGTCTAGTCCTCATTATTACTACTACTACTTTTAGAAGTCTCTGCTTATGCACAGGCCACTCTAGACATGTAGAATTCTAAGTAATTGAGAGGTTTCTACACTTTGTAAGACACATAACATGCACATAATATCCTCTATCTACAGAAGCCAGACTTTGAACTAGAGGAAATAAGTACTAAAGAAACATCTTCAAGGATCTCTAAGGCATCAACCCAAAACATATCTGATAAAGCTTAATAAGAAGCAATAACATTAACATATTTTGGGTAAAGTTATGGAGAGTTTGCTAAAAATAGAGAAGCTGATCAGTTGAAGCTATAGTATACATAAAATCTCAAATTGTCCCTTTTAAAAATTAGCCTCAGATACTCAAAGTCAGAAGGCAGCAATGAAACTGAAAAATCTAACAAACCTGGTCATAAGTTAAAGGAGGCAGATCCTCTCCACAGACTGTTTTCTGTTCTAAATAACATTTTTCTTGAAGTGTTTTGTCTCTGGCCAAAAAGAAGCCCATCCAAGCACTAGTAGTTGAAGATGTATGCTGCCCTGCCAAGAGCAGTCCAATAAGCATCCCTGCTACTTCATCATCGGTTAAAGGACGCCCATCTCTAAGGAATGAACCAAACACACAAATTTAACATTTTGGCAGATACATTTTATGCCTCAACCTTTAAATAAAGTGTCATAATGAAAATATTTTTCAAGTATAATAGTCTCTTATATTTGTCTATCACAAGTCAGAGTTTTTTTTTTCTCTTAGGGAAGAGACAAACCAGTAGAAAACAATTTTGATTACAAGACTCCATTATAGTTCATTAGCAAACGTTCACCATACCCAGTCACTGGGATTACAGTAAGACAAAGGATGTCAATAGTTTATGTTTCAACAATTTAAAAAGCCCAAAGATCATAGCATTTATTCTGCCAGCATCACTGTTTTTAACTGGAAATATTATTTGTATTTTAATGTATCATTTCCTGCTTCAGCTTAATATGTTATCTGAATAGCTCTTACTTGTAGGTAGAATCTAGTAAAGTTTGGAGAATGTCATCAATTTTTTCTTCAGACTGTCTGCGTTTCTGGATTACCTTATAGAAAATATTCTTTATTTTCCAATGAGCTCTGTCCCTCCGTCTGTAATTAAAAGATAAAGATGATTTTTTAAATAAAGAAACACTTTCTAGGATCAAATTCATTTTGAAAACCAGGTCCTAGGATAAGCACCTTATTTAATTAACAACGAACTCTAATGACTAAAATAATTGACAAAAAAATTGACAAATAATTGACAAAATAAATAATTGACAGAAACAGGAAAATATTGGAAGTCATTAAACTCTTACATTGTTAAAAATATTCATAGTCCCTAAGGGTAAGAACTATGCTTTAGTTAACATATATGTCCCAGATTCTTAACACATTACCTGTATTCAAACTATAGGCCTAAAACAAGCAAGAAATTCCTTTAGAAATTTTCCAGTTCAACAGAAAGTAGAATAATCTTTTAAATTAACATGAAATTCCAATTTTAATATCAAATCAAGTCTTAAAGAGGTTGGTTCTTCTATGGAATCTGATTCTACTTTTCACTTTCTAATACAACAGTTTTTTGTAGGGGGCAAAAATACGAGAAGATTCAGAAAACAAGTTTAGGTCAACTCCTAAACTTTACCTTTAAATAGTATGTTCACTATGTAGCAGGAACCATGTTAAGTGTTTTACATGAATTACCCACTTGTATCTTCCTGTGAGGTACATACTATTAACCTCAATTTATAGCTAGCTGCATAAGATCACATAGAAAACAAACATTGGAGCTGGAATTTAAAACTAGGTCATCTGACTCCCAAGCCTCCTCTTAAATCAAGCCTTCTAATAAAAACTCCTACCCTGTTTCATTTACAAGACTGTTAGTCTGTTATTAAGGACTGACCAAGACCATATGTACAGAAGAGAAGATGTCAAAGCTTAACAGTATGAACACAATAGAACCAAGAAAACATAGGCCTGTTTAAGAAAGTGAATGGAGTAATCTGGTTAAATTAGTTGGTATAAGTAAAACAAAGACTAGGCCAGAATGTGAAGGGTCTAACATAACAAGCTCAAGAATTCTGACTTTATCCAAGAGACAGAGCAGGTAGAAACAGGTAGGTAGAAATGCACATTTATGGAGACCCACTATGGGCCCAGGGCTATGCTGGATGTTCTAATATAATACATATGAAACATTTCAAAACTGCAAAGCTCCTTGAAAATATAAGGTATGACGAGTTCCAGAGAACTTTAAAGAATCTCTCCTGGCTCTCCCTTTTACTCCCGCTCCTCTTTTATAACTAAATAGGGCAGAAATAGAAGGAAAAGGGACTAGCAATCTAACTCCTCCCCATCCACTTAAACACCTAAACACAAATGAATCAACAAAAGTATAGAAAGCCTACTAATACACAAAACACTAAGCTATAGGTCAAGTTCTAAGAGCAATATTTCTTTATATCAGAGGCAATCCCTGCCCTTAAGAAACAGAAAATTATGCGGGGACTTACGCTTGTAATCCCAGCACTTTGGGAAGCCAAGGATCACAAGGTTAGGAGTTCACAACTAGCCTATTAAGAAACAGAAAATTACATGGGGACTAACGCTTATAATCCCAGCACTTTGGGAAGCCAAGGATCACAAGGTTAGGAGTTCGCAACCAGGCTAACCAACATGGTGAAACCCTGTCTCTACTAAAAATACAAAAATTAGCTGGGCATGGTGGTGTGCGCCTGTAATCCCAGATACTCAGGAGGCTGAGGCAGGAGAATCGCTTGAATCTGGGAGGTGGAGGTTGCAGTGAGGCGAGATCGCATCACTGCACTCCAGCCTGGGTGACAGAGCAAGACCCCATCTCAAAAAAAAAAAAAAAAAAAGAAACAGAAAATTAAATAAAGGCACAAATACTCAAAACAAAGAAACTTTACAATACAATAAAAAACTACCAAAGATTTCAAACAAATGGTTAGAGGAGGGCTATATCACTTTTAGGTATAGCCCAGAGACTTTCCTGAGGATAAGGAATATGTGAGGTAATTAGGCCTTTAAACTAGGCTGGGCTTAGTGGCTCACACCTGTAATCCCAGGACTTTGGGAGGCTGAGGAATGTGGATCACTTGAGGTCAGGAGTTAGAAACCAGCCTGGCCAACATGACAAAACCCTGTCTCTACTAAAAACACAAAAATTACTTGGGCATGGTGGTACATGCCTGTAGTCCCAGCTACTCAAAAGGCTGAAGTAGGAGGATCACATGAACCTAGGAGGCGGAGACTGCAGTGAGCCGGGATCACGCTACTGCACTCTAGCCTGGGCAACAGAGCAAACCCTGTCTCAAAAATAAAAACAAAAAAATAAATAAAATAAAATATTAGACTAGACAGATAATAAATCACCTTTTTAATAAACTGAAACTTACTTTAAATCAACTTACTATATAAAGAAAACCTGTCTTGAATTCTTATAGAAGAATGGGGGTTTATAGTCTTACCTATTTTGTATGTTTTACTTGTTTAATTTTTATCTTTGTTAAGACAAAGCATACCAACACTACAATAATTATACAAAGTTAAATAGCTGAGGGTAATATCTTCTTTATCCATACCTGAAACTAGGCAAAGGCAGCCAACCTGGTAACAGCCAGGCTGCATGGCTGAAACCTCCATCCAAATCCGCATATAGCTGTGCCACCTTTTCATTGAGTTGACTTCTGATTTCCTTTCCATGCAAACAATGGCTAGCTGTTAAAATTATGAGCTCAGAAAGAGCTTCAAACACATCTAGGGGAAAAAAAGATTATTCTCATTACTAGTTCCAAGAAATAAAATAAAATTGAAAATAAAAACAGAACTCAAGAACAAATAAGATCCTATTTATATCATCAAAAAAAATCTATAAATAGACATGTGACTATGCACAACACTGAATAAAGAGGGGCAATAAACCAAACTATGGGAAGTACCCCGTCCCTCTGAACAGTCAAAACAGATGCCAGAAACACATCTCAAAACTTCATTCATGAGCACTTCATGAAAAGAATAAATGTGGTTGTTCGATTTCCAGGTCACATATAACAAAAGTAGCAAAAAGGTTATTTATAGTGTATATGACAATAGGGTACTTCCCAAGGAGTGGTAGCCAAAGATTGGATTATTTCCCAGGTTAAAAGTAGGAAGATCAGGACTAAAATGGAATTACTGTCCATATATTTTTAAAAAAACTATAATCATCAATTAGCATATCCTAACATGAGACAAATGCACCAGGCAAGCATAATTTGATGACACTCAAATAATAAAAATTATCCAATAATTTTCTGTTAATTCCACACTCACTAAATGTAATTCCAACGATCATTTGGCTTTCTAATTCTATTTGCCAATAAAGAGAAGAACAGTAAATATTCTGGATTTCTTGATTCTGTAATTATATGTCCCACATGCATTATTATATTGGCATTCTAATTTACACATTAGTTCGTTGTATGGTTAGAAAATACTTCATATCAACTTAAGTATTCCAAAAACAAAGATTCTGGGCCTTTTATAGAGGCCAAAGGCCAGACCCAGAATGTAGTGACCCACGGTCCTGGATCTTGCTGCCCAGTGGGCAGATGTTACTTCCTACTATGGGCACAGCAATTGCTTCTGAAAGGCAATACTTAACTGCAGTCCAGTATAAAGACGGGATTCTCAGTTACAACTTCAGGGGAATTATTACTTATCCCTCCCATAAATCCAAGGTAGTTTTACATATACTGTCATTTGTTTTCTATTCGCTACACACATATATACTCTACTTTTCATTCAGAGAAGTAGAAATGTTAGGACAAACATTTTGCTTACTTTTTTCTCCACTTTCTCCCCAACTCTGAAAGTATTCCTTTGTTTCTTTTTCAATTATAGAAACATGCTGTTTAAAGTGGGCTATGTTAAGGCCACTTTTTAACATTTTCTTCTGCTCCAAAAAAACCTTCAAAAAATTTAAAAAGGGCATCCAGCATTAAAACACATTTTTGTTTCATCATAAAATCCATTTGGTTATTATAACTATGTAACACTAACACAACTAATGGTTTTAACTCTTCGGGCATTTATATTTTAAGAGTCTAAATGAATAGATATATCTGACTCTAAATGAATAGAGACTAAATGAATAGATATATCTGAGCAGAGGGATTTTCCAGGGCCCTCTTTATTGGCCTTGAGGAGAGCCATTCATTCTCTCATCCCCATCACTAGAAACAACATTTAATGCTAACTTTCAACTGCTATACTAAGGTACTGGCTAATGTATGTTACATTCACAGCTAGAGCCTACACCAAGCACTGGGGCCAACTGTCTGATTTGTGTTCCATATCAACTTTTTTTTTTTTTTTTTTTTTTTTTGAGACGGAGTTTCGCTCTTGTTACCCTGGCTGGAGTGCAATGGCGTGATCTCAGCTCACTGCAACATCGGCCTCCCGGGTTCAGGCAATTCTCCTGCCTCAGCCTCCCGAGTAGCTGGGATTACAGGCATGCGCCACCATGCCCAGCTAATTTTTTTTTTTTTATTTTTAGTAGAGACGGGGTTTCACCATGTTGACCAGGATGGTCTCGATCTGTTGACCTCGTGATCCACCCGCCTCGGCCTCCCAAAGTGCTGGGATTACAGGCTTGAGCCACCGCGCCCGGCCCATATCAACTTAAAACAATTTCATATTTGACTTTTGAGGGTAAAACATACACATAGATGTACCCACACCTGAAGTAGTTGCATTAAAAGAGGACTTTTAAAGTTGGCAATGTCTAAACAGCTCTTAGGTTAGAATTTCAGGCAGGAATGGGTAGGAAGTACTTTTGAAGAAATAACAGGATTGTCTTATAATCCTTTCAAATTAAATCCCAGTAAGCTAAGCTATTGATTCCATTATTTGTAAGGAAACCATTTAATATTATTTACCCCATGCCAGCAAGTATAAAACAAAATACCCCTTACTTATCAGTTATCCACGGCCTTTCTTCTCATGATTCTTCACACTTTTGAAGCAAAGAATAAATTGCTTCTACATTTTTTTTATATTATTTTTGTTTGGTTGGTTGGGGTGTGTGTGTGTGTGTGTGTGTGTGTGTGTGGTTTTGTTTGTTTGTTTTTGAGACAGAGTCTCACTCTGTTGCCCAGGCTAAAATGCAGTGGTGTGATATTGACTCACTGCAACCTCCACCTCCTGGATTCAAGTGATCCTCATGCCTCACCCTCCCAAGTAGCTGGGATTACAAGTGTGCACCACCACTCCCAGATAATTTTTGTTCTTTTAATAGACACGGGGTTTCACCATGTTGGCCAGACTGGTCTTGAATTCTTGGCCTCAAGTGATCCACCCAACTCGGACTCCCAAAGTGCTGGGATTATAGGCATGAGCCACCATGCCTGGCTGTCTCTACATTTTAAATGTATAATGCCTTACTATTAGCTATAACTACTGAAATACAAATTTGTCTTTATTCATGGTAATAGTGTCACCTACTGGATTAGGCACATCGTATGCAACTCCCTTCCCAAACACAGGTGTTGTCAGGCGACTGTAGACATCTTCTGCATTCAGGTCTTCATTTTTACTATTAAAAAGCAGTGCAGCGGCATCACTCCCCAGAAGGTAAGTAAATGTCTTGCCTACCATGGTAAAACTAAATACAGGTCCATACTAAAAAGAGAAAAATACAAACAGTGATGTTACAAAAAATATGCAACACTAACACACTAACTGTTTAAAATCACAAAGAATGCATTATTGAAAAAATAAAGACACACATAAACTTTAAAGCAATTCTTTTCATCTTGTCACACTCCTTCTTCCTGTTTTTGTCCAAATTTATAATTATGTTTATCCAGTTGCAAAAGTAGTATAAATACAACTGCTATTATGCTTTTTTCATTTTATATTGACAATATTTTCTATTGTCTACATAGACATCACAATGTTAATTTACTTGACTCTTTCATTATTGGACATATGGGTAATATGTCAGGGTTTTTTTTAGTTATTATAGCTAATTCTGTGATAAACACCTCTGAGAACACAGACTTTTTTTTCTCCCCCCCACTTTGGTTTAAAAAAATTTACAGGACTAGCCAAAGAATCTGACCTTTTTTTTTTTTCTGCCAGGTTGGAGTGCAGTGGTACAATCTCGGCTCACTGCAAGCTCTCCCTTCCCAGATTCAAGCGATTCTCTTGCCTCAGCCTCCCTAGTATCTGGGACTACAGGCCTGCAACACCACGCCCAGCTAATTTTTGTATTTTTAGTAGAGATGGGGTTTCACCACGTTGGCCAGGATGATCTCGATCTCTTGACCTCATGATCCACCCACATTGGGCTCCCAAAGTGCTGGGATTACGGGCATGAGCCACCACGCCTGGCCGAATCTTACCTTTTCTATACTACCTGCAATGTGAAGACACTAAAAGTTTATTTATTTGTTTTATCACTATCTCACCTACACTAAATGACTTCATTTTTTTATCTTTTTATTAATTTGGTTAGGTGATAAATGCTTTCCCTTGCAGTTTTCTGGTTATTACTGAAGACTAGACTCTGGGGGGTATAATCATGAACAAAACTACTGTCCCGGACTCACTAAGCTTAGTCTATTGGGAAAAATATAAATTAATCAAATAATCACATTAACAAACATAAAACTGCAAATGTGACAAAAAAAAAGCAACTCTGTGATAGAAGAATCTAAAAGAGGGAGAACTAAAAGAGGAAAAGACAACTGAGTCAAGACCAAAAGAACGAGTAGTTTGGTAGCCAAGCATACACAAAGGCCCTAAAGGTAAGAGAAATAGAAAAAAGATGAATGTTGAGTCTGAGGCAGCACTAGACCATACAGAGCCTCATAAGCCAAGTTTTTAAATGGGTGACACTTAAGAATTTTTCAGAGAAAAAGGAAAGATGCAGTTGACAGAGAAGTCAATAATACACTGAGAAAAGATATAACAGTAAAAAGTTCCTGAGACAAAAGAGGGATGGAGAGTTCAGCCTCCGATAAAAGGCAAAATATAGTTGTAATAAAATCAAAGTGGTAGAACACACTGAGCCAGGACATAAGATTCTGGAGCCAGAGTGCCTGTGTTCAAACCCCAGCCCCTCCACCTATTTGCTATATGACTTTGAAGAACTTAACCTCTGTATGCTTAGTTTCCTTCACCTATTAAATGGTAATAATAATGGTAGCAGTTCTTCATAGAGCTGCTGTCAAATTTTATATACAGGGCAGAGAAGAGTACCTTGGCTTACTCAGTAACTTATGGACTTATTTTCCATTATTATTATCATTAATAAAAGTATAGGCTCAGAAGTCAGACCATGTGTAAATCCTGGCTTGGCCACTGTCTAACAGTAAGTCCAAGAAGAAATTATAAAACCTCTCTGCTTCTCAGTTTTCTCATCTATAAAACAAATATACCTGAAGGGGTTTTTGCAGAGCTTCAGTGAGATGATCTTTGTAAAGCACTAAGTACTGGCATAAAGTAAGTGTTTTATAATTATTACTGTGATAGGAAGAAAAGAGAATAGGATTACTATATAAACACAAGCAGGTTTGTATATTTGCAATTGAGAAAATGAGGAAGTTCCCTTTGAATGGCTTCCAATCTTTGTCTCCTAAATCAATGTTTTTAATCATTGTCTCCTAAACAGGAGACAAAATCATCTGCTTTGATGGAGAGGTAGAAAGATTCAGAAGTTTAGAAAATGAAGGTTTGAATTAGTCATTGTAGTGAGTGGAAAAGTAGGCCAATCACAAGAACATAATAGGACTGTGGAGCAGTGTTCAAATTTCATTAAGGGTAGGTAATCATAAAATCAGGAAGAAACTAATCTGGTGCAAGGAAGGAGACAATAACTAGCTGCCTCCAAAAGTGACTTGCCAGTTGAACACAATGAAAAGATGCAGGGTCCAGGAAATTTAAAGTACAGTATTGGCAAGAGTGTAATGGAAATGACATGTCATGGATCCAAAGTGGAAAAAGGAAAGTGAAGAAAAAAAGGCTGATGGATCAGGAGAAAGTAAATGGAATGCAAGATCTAATGAGGTCAAAGACAGTTATAATTTAAGGAGTTGTACAAGCAAACCAGGAGAAGGTATTATTTAAGAATAGGATATCTAAATTAATATTGTGGAGGTGAAACACTTAAGAGTGACAAGTCCAAAGTGAGACTGTGAAGTAAATGGTTTAACTAGCACAGGAAAGCTCATTAGAGAGGCTATGGTGACATGTGGGTCATCCAAATGGACAGTGAAATCATAGAAGATGTATACAGCAGGTTAGAACCCACAGATGCATGGTGAAGAAAAATCAGGGTTGGTTTTAATTAGTATTAATTAATATCAATTTTAGTGACAACCAGTGAATAGAAATCTCAAAACAGTGGTTTTTAAACCATAGTTGCCAGAACCATAGGTTTCCTCAGTGTGTCTCGAAGATGATCCCAGGTCACAGGAGAAGCTAAAAGGATAGGTATCTGTAAGACACCATCTCTTAAACCAGAGCAGTTTCCATTTTGTTTCCTATACCGAGGATACGTATAAGATTACAATGTTTTTAAATGTTCTGGCACTTTTTAAAAAAAATTTTAAAAAGCACTTCTCTAAACTAGTTTCTTTTCCTCTAATTATTGGAAGACTTACCTTCTCATATGCATTTTCTAGAAATTCAATTGGACTTTTCCCAAATGCTATGGCATGCCCAAGGAATGGAATCGGGGAGAAAATGTATGGAGGACTTTTCTACAAGAGAAAAAAATAATAAATTTAGTTCTCATTTCATTTCAAGAGAGAAACCCAGTTTTATTTGATGACCAAACAATTAAGCAAAATAGTTTTTAAGACTTAAAAAAAAGTTACCAATAAAAAAAAAAAAGGACACATCAGAAGTAACTTGAAAACAGCCAAACTGCAAATATGTTAAGACAGTAGCTATTTGTAAAAAGAACAGAAACTCAAAGCATGGTAAAAGATAAATGACTAGATAGACACAAAGGCACTGTAACTTTAAATAATGGACACTGTCCAGAATATGTTCAATTATTATTGGTGTCTCCAGGCAACTTTTCTAACCATTAGTAGCAAAAAACCAAAAAGGTCAAACTACACTTGTCCCTTGGCATTTGTGGGGTTGCAGGACCCTCTCACAGATACAAATCCAGCAATGCTCAAGTCCCTTATATAAAATGGCAAGGTATTTGCATATAACCTATGCACATCCTCTCATATACCTTAAACCATTTCTAGATTACTTACAATACCCAATACAGTGTAAAGGCTATATAAATAGTTGTTAAACTGTGTTTTTTATTTGTATTATTTTTTATTGTTGTGTTATTTTGTATTGGGGTTTTTTCCAAATATTTTAGATCCACACTTAATTGAATTCCCAAATGTGGAATTTGGGTCCCCAGAGAGCTCATGTATTGTTTCTTCACCACTTACTTCAACTTCTCCTCACAATTTTAGTCCCACAGTCTTGCTTAAAGAAGATATAGAAAAAGACAAATCATAACTTGAGGTATAGAAAGAAGGGAAATGTTTAAAAGCCACAGTAATTTCTCAGTAAACAATCCATTTCATGCTTCTCTCACTGCAAGTGAACTAGACCCACTGATTTTAGAGAATAGATCAGCTCTAGCAAGAACTCTAGCATTCATCATAAAAGATACTTTAGATGCCACAAAATGAGACCTGCAAATTACAACATTAGGTATCCTGGAAATCAAATTTGCAATAACAAAAAAGGGTAATACTCCTCAGATCTCTGGTGGTCTCAAATAGAAAGGAGCCCCACAACCTCACAGTACTCATCAGCTAAGAGAACTACCTTTAAACACTAAAGGTAACTTTGTCTTTCCAGAGACAAATACCACTTCCTTAAAAATCCCATATGTAGGAAAAATAATAATAACTCTGCCTTATACCTGGTATGGTTCAAACAAAAATTATTTTAAAAGCGACTTGGTCAAAAGTTTGTACACTGCATTGTCAGTAAAAGGGTAGTTTGGGCAGGGCGCGGTGGCTCACGCCTGTAATCCCAGTACTTTGGGAGGGTGAGGCGGGAGGATCATGAGGTCAAGAGATCCAGACCATCCTGGCCAACATGGTGAAATCCCGTCTCTACTAAAAATACAAAAATTAGCTGGGTGTGGTGGCGCGCACCTGTAGTCCCAGCTACTCGGAAGGCTGAGGCGGGAGAATTGCTTGAACCCAGGAGGCAGAGATTGCGCCACTGCACTCCAGCCCGGCGCCTGGCGACAGAGTGAGAGACTCTGTTTTTTTTTTTAAAAAAAAAAAGGTAGTGTTAAAAAGCTACTTATTGCTGACTGTAAAAGGTACTTCCATCAAATAACATTTGGGAGGTTGAAAGTTAGGTTAATAAAGCTGTTAAATTAGAGAAACTGTTTTGGTTTTTTGTTGTTGTTGTTGTTGTTGTTTGAGACGGAGTCTCTGTTGCCCAGAATGGAATGCAGTGGCGTGATCTCGGCTCAACCTTCACTCATATACTTCAAGAACCCGCCTTCTAGGTTCAAGCAATTCTCCTGCCTCAGTTTCCCGAGTAGCTGGGACTACAGGCGTGCGCCACCACACCCAGCTAAATTTTTTTTTTGTATTTTAGTAGAGATGGGGTTTCACTACTTTGGCCAGGCTGGTCTGAAACTGCTGACCTCAGGTGATCCCCCCGCCTCGACCTCCCAAAGTGCTGGGATTACAGGCATGAGCCACCGCACCCGGCCAAGAAACTGTTATTTTATTACCATCCGAGGCAGGTCCTTACCACACTCCAGTCACTCCCACTACCACACTCTACACATCCTCCTTAATGTGGATATAAGCTGCCATTAGGGGCACTGTTACAGCCCATAGAACCTTGAACTACACAGGGCAGCCTCCAGGATGACGGCCCAGCTGCCAAAAAAGCATCGCCATCAGGACCCCAACCAAGGGCCCCAACGACCACGGGGTTGTTCAAAGCCACAGCCGCCAGTCCGGTCACTGCCACCAGGGGCACCACTGCCGCGGTCAGTACACCCATCAATCACTACGACCATAAATGCGGTAACCACGACCCGACCAGGTTCAGATACACAGCCAGGAGGCCAACAAGGCAACGGCGGGCGCTACCGCCAGCGCCACCAGCAGCACTGCGGACGCCGCAGTCACTACTCCAGCCACGAGCGCGACTGCCACCACGGCCACGCCAAGCAAGGCTGCGGTCCCCGCCCCCAAGTCCAGCCAGCTAGGGCACAGAGCAGGTCGGGGCCATGGAGCCTCCCACGCCAGCCCTTCGGCCGCCTCAGCGGCGGCGCTCACCCCACTCGGGCCCGAAACAATGTACGTACCGCCCCTACTGGCAGCTGGACCAGGTGGCCGGCGGCGACACGGAACAGGTAGACCAGGCTGAGGGTGAAGGTGCAGGCGATCAGCAGCATGGACAGGAGGTTGCCGCCTGTCACCTTCTCCATCGCCTGACCCAGCACCGACCCACCCGCCTGCAGCAAGCCCAGCAACATTATCCTGGCCGCCGCCGCCACTCCACTTCGCCGTAGACACTGGAGGCCGAAGTCGCCACCGCTCCTCCTAATCGACGGAGCAAGAGAAGCTGGTAGATGGGAGCCTACAGGCGGCCCCGGCCCCCAGGTCTCCTACTAAACCCAGCCCCAGCCCTCGGGTCCCACGCGCGCCACTCCTTGCGTCACAGAACGGGGTAGGGTCTGCCGCTGGCCACACCCCTAAAGAACACTGTGATTCGGCAGTCTTCTTGCGCGGGAAAGGGGACCTGAGGAAGCGGGCTGCGCCTATGGCACAGTGGTACAGGGCCAGAGGAGAACGTAGCTTAAGAGGCGATCAGTCCCTGAGAATCGCAGGCAACCCGGTTCTGTGTGCCCGGGTGTGGGGCACTAGGACACGGTGCTGGAGGCGCTAGGCGGAGGGATCTCAGGGCGAGCTCGACAGGCGGTGGCGCGCTCTGTGATTGCACCGCTAGCCTCTGAGGTGATCTCGGCCTATATCGCGTCAGCGGGGCTGGAGGCGTGAGCACCGCCCCCGGTCCGGCCGCGGGGAACAGTGGCACCTCACCCCGTTCTGGAGCTACGTCCTATGGACTCCGACAGCCGCAGATAAGCCCTCGGGGACCGGGGTTGTGAAACGCGAGGTCGTGAAGACGCCAGCCACATACCGAAGGGTGGGATGGTGAGATCAGCCCCGTCCCACCCCAATTAAAATCCACCTGACAGGTATTAATATGCCTCCATAAAGAACAGATGTTGGTGATTAGGGATGCTGGATTTTACGAAAACAAATTTTCCAAAATAATTGTAGATGTTATAGGACGTCGCGAGCCATTTGAGGCACCATTCCCCAAGGACGCAGCTTACTCTGAAGGTTTAGCGGCCGGAAGGATTCTGAAGTTGAGTTCGGTCTTGCAGCCACAATCAACCTTCACTCATATGGCTTCCCATAAGCGTCTCCCGTAACTACCAAATTTAACTCCTTCCAGATCACTCACAGGAGCACCTGACCAGATTCATTTATTTACTCAATGTTAAGAACTAGGTTTTGTGCTAAGCTAGGAAATAAGAGTAGCGAATGAGACCAAACTGCAAGGCCCTGGTTGGACGAGTAGGAATATTCAGTTGCCTGCGGGACACCTCTACCTAGAGATCTGACATTCATCCCGGAGTTAGTAAATCCAAAACTAAACCCGTTGTCTCCTCCTATCTGCCCCTCCTATAATGCCTATGAAGAAAAGGCATCACTGTGCACACTGTGGCCCTTCTTCTCCAAGCTTCACATCTAATCAGTCATCAGATCCTATAATTCCACCACCTTAAAAGTTTCACCCTTCCTATTGCCACTGCCTTAGGCAAGGCCCCATTATCGCTTGTCTGGATTGCTTATATGATATCCTATCTGGTCTTCTTTCTTTAAAGCATGTCTAACCTGCGCGGTGGCTCACACTTGTAATCCCAGCACTCTGGGAGGCTGAGATGGGTGGATCACCTTAGGTCAGGAGTTTGAGACCAGTCTGACCAACATGGAGAAATCCCGTCTCTACTAAAACTACAAAATTAGCCGGGCGTGGTGGCTCATGCCTTTAATCCCATCTACTAGGGAGGCTGAGGCAGGAGAATCGCTTTGAACCTGGGAGGTGGAGGTTGCGGTGAGCCGAGATCGAGCCATTGCACTCCAGCCTGGGCGAGAGAGCGAGACTCGGTCTCAAAAAAAAAAGGAGCCGGGCGCGGTGGCACGTCCTTGTAGTCCCAGCTACTCTGGAGGCTGAGGTGGGAGGATTGCTTGAGCCCAGGAGTTCTGGGCTGTAGTGCACTATGCTGATCGGGTGTCCGCACTAAGTTCGGCATCAATATGGTGACCTCCCGGGAGCAGGGGACCACCAGGTTGCCTAAGGAGGGGTGAACCGGCCCAGGTCGGAAACAGAGCAGGTCAAAACTCCCGTGCTGATCAGTAGTGGGATCGCGCCTGTTAATAGCCACTGCACTCCAGCCTGGGCAACATAGCGAGACCCCCTCTCAAAAAAAAAAAGGAAAGAAATAAAGCATGTCTAATTTATCCTCCACACTGCTACCACTTCTTGGGTCACTAAAGCTATGTTGTAATCATCCACACGGGTTTCCTCTATTAGAAGATGAAATTGAGAATAGGCATAATGTTTTTGTTTTTGTTTTGAGACGGAGTCTCCCACTGTCGCCCAGGTTGTAGTGCAGTGGTGCGATCTCAGCTCACTGCAATCTCGGCCTCCTGGGTTCAAGCAATTCTGCCTTAGACTCCCTAGTAGCTGGGACTAAAGGCGTGCACCGCCACGCCCATCTAATTTTTGTGTGTTTTTAGTAGAGACAGGGTTGATGGTCTTTATCTCCTGATCTCCTGATCCACCCGCCTCTGCCTCCCAAAGTGCTGGGATTACAGGCGTGAGCCACCACGCCTGACCATGTATTTTTATATTCTGTGTTTATCCTAACACATATCACAGCAATTCTCCAAGCATGATCCATGGCCACCTAGAGGTCCCTGAGACTCTTTCAAAGAGTCTTCAGCATCACAGCTTTTTATAACCATGCTGTTATTTGCTTTTTTTACTGCTGGAATTTACACTAATGATGCAAAATCAATGGTGAATAAAACTTCTAGGGCCTTAGCATACAAATAAAAGGCAGAGCACCAAACTGCTCTCACACTTGTTGGTTGGGGGAACCCTATTTCACTTAATACCAATGAAATTGTGAACATTAATTTTTGTTGTTTGTTTTTAATTGTACTTTAGGTTCTAGGGTACATGTGCAGATCATGTAGGATAGTTGCATAGGTACACACATGGCAATGTGGTTTGCTACCTTCATCCCCCATCAGGTACATCTGGCATTTCTCCCTATGTTATCCCTCCCCAACTTCCCCACCCCACCACTGTCCATCCTTTGCTCCGCCCCCCCGCACCAACCAACCCCAGTGTGTGATGCTCCCCTCCCTGTGTCCATGTGTTCTCATTGTTCAACACCCACCTATGAGTGAGAACTTGCTGTGTTAGATTTTTTGTTCTTGTGTCAGTTTATTGAGAATTATAGTTTCCAGATTCATCCATGTCCCTGCAAAGGACACAAACTCATCATTTTTTATGGCTGCATAGTATTCCATGGCGTATATGTGCCACATTTTCCTTGTCCAGTCTATTATCAATGGGCATTGGCGTTGGTTCCAGGTCTTTGCTATTGTAAACAGTGCCGCAATGAACATACGTGTGCATGTGTCTTTATAATGGAATGATTTATAATCCTTTAGGTATATACCCAGTAATGGGATTGCTGGGTCAAATGGAATTTCTATTTCTAGGTCCTTGAGGAAGCACTACACTGTCTTCCACAATGATTGCACTAGTTTACACTCCCACCTGAAGTATTGGATGCGAGATTGAAATAATCACTAAGACAAAGTATGCCAAATTGCAGGGTCTTTTTTGCCAGTGACCGGTCTTTATTGCTTTTTTAGAAAAAAGCAAGCAATATACATTCTTTAAAGCAAGCTAGCAATTTTGTTTACAAAAGCCAAAGTCAACAGTTATTACAAAAAAATAAGACAGTACAACTTATTTTTTTAAAAAAAACAGCTTTGTCTTATAAAATGACATTGCTCAAGCTCTAACTCTAAGCCCGCTATAGCACACACCAACAGTGTAAAACTGTTCCTATTTCTCCACATCCTCTCCAGCATCTGTTGTCTCCAGATTTTTTAATGATCGCTATTCTAACTGGAGTGAGATGGTATCTCAATGTGGTTTTGATTTGCATTTCTCTAATAATCAGTGATGAAGAGCATTTTTTCATATGTTTGTTGGCCTCATATATGTTTTCTTTTGAAAAATGTCTGTTCATATCCTTCTCCCACTTTTGGATGGGTTTGTTTGTTTTTTTCTTGTAAATCTGTTTTAGTTCTTTGTAAATTCTGGATATTAGCCCTTTGTCAGATGGGTAGATTGCAAAAAAAATTTTTTTTTTGCTGTACAGAAGCTCTGGAGTTTAATTAGGTCCTATTTGTCTATTTTGGCTTTTGTTGCCAATGCTTTTGGTGTTTGGGTCATGAAGTCCTTGCCTATGCCTATGTCCTGAATGGTTTTGCCTAGGTTTTCTTCTAGGGTTTTTATGGTGTTAGGTCTTATGTTTAAGTCTTTAATCCATCTGGAGTTAATTTTAGTGTAAGGTGTCAGGAAGTGGTCCAGTTTCTGCTTTCTGCACACCGCTAGCTAGTTTTCCCAACACCGTTTATTAAACAGGGAATCCTTTCCCCATTGATTGTTTTTGTCAGGTTTGTCAAAGATCAGATGATTGTAGATGTGTGGCATTGCCTCCAGGGCCTCTGTTCTGTTCCATCGGTCTGTATCTCTGTTTTGGTACCAGTACCAAGCTGTTTTGATTACTGTAGTCTTGTAGTACAGTTTGAAATCAGGTAGCGTGATGCATCCAGCTTTGTTTTTTTGCTTAGTATTGTCTTGGCTATGCGGGCTCTCCTTTGGTTCCATATGAAGTTTAAGGTGGTTTTTTTCCAGTTCTGTGAAGAAGGTCATTGATAGTTTGATGGGGATAGCATTGAATCTATAAGTTACTTTTGGCAGTATGGCCATTTTCACGATATTGATTCTTCCTAACCATGTACATGGAATTTTTCTCCATTTGTTTGTGTCTTCTCTTATTTCCTTGAGCAGTGGTTTGTAGTTCTCCTTGAAGAGGTCCTTTACATCCTTTGTTAGTTGTATTCCTAGGCATTTTATTCTCTTTGTAGCAATTGTGAATGGGAGTTTGCTCATGATTTGGCTCTCTCTTTGTCTGTTATTGGTGTATAGAAATGCTTGTGATTTCTGCACATTGATTTTTGTATCCTGAGACTTTGCTGAAGTTGCTTATCAGTTTAAGGAGATTTTGGACTGAGATGATTGGGTTTTCTAAATATACAATCATGTCATCTTGCAAATAGAGACAATTTGACTTCTTTTTTCCTAATCGAATACTCTTTATTTTTTTTTTAATTGCCTAATTGCTCTGGCTAGAACTTCCAATACTATATTGAATAGGAGTGGTGAGAGAGGGCATCCTTGTCTAGTGCCAGATTTCAAAGGGAATTCTTCCAGTTTTTGCCCATTCAGTACGATATTGGCTGTAGGTGTGTCATAAATAGCTTTTATTATTTTGAGATATGTTCCTTTGATACCTAGTTTATTGAGAGTTTTTAGCATAAAGGGCTGTTGAATTTTGTCGAAGGCCTTCTCTGCATCTATTGAGATAATCATGTGGTTTTTGTCTTTGGTTCTGTTTATGTGGTGGATTATGTTTATAGACTTGCATATGTTGAGCCAGCCTTGCATCTCTGGAATGAAGCTTACTTGATCATGTTGGGTAAGCGTTTTGATGTGCTGTTGCAATCAGTTTGCCAGTATTTTATTGAAGAATTTTGCATTGATGTTCATCGTGGATGTTGGCCTGTAATTTTCTTTTTTGTTGAGTCTCTGCCAGGTTTTGGTATCAGGATGATGTTCATCTGATAAAATGATTTGGGAAGGATTCCCTCTTTTTTGATTGTTTGAAATAGTTTCAGAAGGAATGGTACCAGCTCTTCTTTGTATGTCTGGTAGAATTCTGCTTTGAACCCATCTGGACCTGCACTTATTTGATTGGTAGGCTATTAATTGCTGCTTCAACTTCAGCCCTTATTATTGGTCTATTCAAGGTGTCAA